GCGTGCCGTGCTATGGCGTCTGCTCGGGCAATCCAGGGAAAAGGGCGCAAAATGATTTTCTGCTGTTGCTTTCATGAAGGGAGGGAGGGTTGACTGACGACATTTACCCATAACCACCCACAACAAATTTTTGGCCCCATCAGGCATTGGGAGCTCAGCCCAGAATTCCAGTGGACAGTGGGGACTGCGGGAACGGTGGGATAGCTACCCACAGTGCACCGCTTGGAACATCAACGCTTGCCAAGGTACTGTGGACGCACAGCGCCGAATGAATGTGCTTAGTATGGATGCATGCACTCAACTTTATACAATCTGTTCCAAAAATTGACTTCTGTAAAATCAGAGTACTTTCGTAGTGTAGACATGGCCTGAGGGTGAGATTTCCCTGTATTCAGTTTCTTAAATGTGTTAGGCTTAGACTTGCGTGTTTTGCTTGGTAACTTATTTTGTTTTGTCTGTTATTACTTGGAACCACTTAAATCCTACTTTTTATATTTCATAAAATCACTTTTGCTTTTTAATTGACCCAGAGTAAGTAATTAAGGCCTGGGGGAGCAAACGGCTGTGCATCTCTCTCTGTCAGTGTTATAGAGGGCAGTAAATTTATGAGTTTACCCTGTATAAGCTTAATACAGAGTGAAATGGATTTATGTGGGGTTTGGATCCCATTGGGAACTGGTTGTCTGGGTGCTAGAGACAGGAGCACTTCTTAAGCTCTTTTCAGTTAAGTCTGCAGCTTTTGCAGGACATGGTTCAGACCTGGGTCTGCGTTTCCAGCAGGCTAGCGTGTCTGGCTCAACAAGACAGGATACTGAAGTCCTAAGCTGGCAGGAAAACGGGCTCAGAGGTAGTCTCTGCATGTCAGGTGGCAGTCCCAAGGGGGTCTCTGTGACCCAACCAGTCACAGGCATATTTTACTTCATTCTTATTTACACAAACTGAAATGCATAGACATCCCAATTCCCTTGCAGTGCTAGGCACAATGGCATGGACTGAAGGACTTGTCCTCCTAACTTTGAGGATGAGTCCTGTCTCCACACACTATCTACCACCCATTTCACATCCCAGCATCTCCTCACACCCAGTTCCATGCCCTCTGTACCCTTTTTCCACCTTTCAAGCCCCTTTTTCTCCCCAATTAACAGGACATTACAGGCTAAGGGCCTATGAGTTGGGGCTGAAGGATCAACTTTTTTAGACTACTGCTTGGCCTCATTGCTAACATTTTAATGTAGGATAGCACCCTAGAGAGTCTTCCTTTTTTACAACATATACCAAAAGCCTATATTGGAGGTGATAAGATGAGAAAGGTTTTATCAGTCGATTGCAGATACCGTGCGCTCATTGCATTGGCTGCTTTTCCTCTAGCCTGTTTGTACCAATTTCACATAGCCGGTACGGCATTTTAGTTCCTGGGGGGAAATAAATAAATCACTCCAATCAGCTGCATTTCTTGAGGTGCTGCAAACAAACTGCAGTGGAAATGTTATCATTTGGAACAGATTTAGCCCGCAGGATCATGTGTTAATTTAAACTTTAGCATTTAAAAATAGCTTCCCATGGCACCATGTAAATACAGGATGTGGCCAGAGCAAGCAGATACAAATCAAGTGAAGTTTTATTGCTTGAAGTTGTTTATTTCTACATTTGACAGTTACTGAGAAAAACTCACCTCTTTATTCTCCTGAGCCCCTCTGTGCAGCCAGGCACTGGAACAATACTCTGGAATACAACGGACAGTATACAGACGTATATTATCACCTCAGTGGTTACTTTTCTGTCTCAAACTACTTCCAATGCAAATGTCAATGGCAAACAGATTGGTTACTGTTTGATAAACTCATTGGGCCTGATTTAATGCTGCTAACAGCATTGACCACATGGCCCTAGTTGCAGAAAGCTGGGCCACTGCGCTCGCACTCTGGCTGGGAATCCCTGCAAACTAAGGCTGATCACAAATGTTTTGCTAAAACTGTTTTTTTGATGGAAAATTGGGTTTCTGACCAAAAACATTGTGGAAAGTGGCTGTTTTCTGTGTAAATCTTAGGGATTTATCAAAATATTTTGGCCAAAAAAACAGAAGTAATTTGTAAATATAATTTCCTAGGTTTTTTTTAGTTTAAAAAGCAAACTAAAAAAAAAACAAACCAAAAATTCCATCATGGGGCATCATATATTGACACCCCCATGGGTCATCAGCAGAGTTGGAACCTTTAGATCCACCACACAGACTTGTGCCACTTGCAGCCAAAAGAGTAACCGATAGCAATAGTAGGTTGTCATTCTCTATGTGGACCAGCACTGCAGATGGCTGACACTCATGTTTGCTGGTGAGTTTCACAGATATTTGCTGACAGCAGAGGAATGGTGAGCCTTGGTGTGACGGGTTCGGTCACAGAGACCCCCTTGGGACTGTCACCTGATGTGCAGAGACTACTTCTGAGCCCGTTTTCTCTGCCAGTTTTGGCCTCCAGACCCAGCCTTGTTGAGCCAGACACACAAGCCTGCTGCAACACAAACTCAGGGTCTGAACCACGCCCCCAAAGCTGCAGACTTAACTGAAAACAGCTGAGCAAGTGCTCCTGTCTCCAGCACCCAGACACCCAGCTCCCAATGGGATCCAAACCCCAAATAAATCCATTTTACTCTGTATAAAGCTTATACAGGGTAAACTCATAAATTGTCCACCCTCCATATCACTGATAGAGAGATATGCACAGCTGTTTGCTCCCCCAGGTATTAATTACTTACTCTGGGTTCAATAATAAACAAAAGTGATTTTATTAAGAATAAAAACTAGGATTTAAGTGGTGCCAAGTAATAACAGACAGAACAAAGGAAGTTACCAAGCAAAATAAAACAAAACACGCAAGTCTAAGCCTAATACATTTAAGGAACTGAATACAGGGAAATCTCACCCTCAGAGATGTTCCAATAAGCTTCTTTCACAGACTAGACTCCTCCTTAGTCTGGGCTCAATCCTTTCCCTGGTACAGTTCTTATTAGTTCCAGCTCAGGTGGTAACCAGGGGATTTCTCATGACTGCCAGCCCCCTTTGTTCTGTTCCACCCCCTTTTATAGCTTTGGCACAAAGCGGGAATCCTTTATCTCTCTCTGGGTTCCCACCCTTCCTTCTAAATGGAAAAGCACCAGGTTTAAGATGAGTTTCAGAGTGGTAGCCGCGTTAGTCTGTATCAGCAAAAAGAACGAGAAGTACTTGTGGCACCTTAGAGACTAACAAATTTATTTGGGCATAAGCTTTTGTGGGCTAAAACCCACTTCATCAGATGAATGGAGTGGAAAATACAGTAGGAAGATATATATATATATATCTTATATATATATCTTATATATATATATATATATACACACACACACACACACACACAGAGAACATGAAAAGATGGGGGTTGTCATACCAATTCTAATGAGACAAATCAATTAAGGTGGGCTTTCTCCTGCTGATTTGATTTGTCTCGTTAAAGTTGGTATGGCAACCCATGTGTGTGTGTATCTTCCTACTGTATTTTCCACTAAGTTATATATTCACAGCTGGGAACTGTGACAGGGTAAGACCAGATGGCTATAGAAAAGTAGTGGGAGATAGATATATTAGCTTGAGGCTAAACAAATCCCTGGTACCAGGATAAGTGAAATGGCAGCTGCTCCAGGTCAATTAAGACACCTGGGGCCAATTAAGAACTTTCCAGAAGGCAGGGAGAATGCTAGGTTGATTGGGACACCTGAAGCCAATCAGGGGCTGGCTGAAACTAGTTAAAAGCCACTCAGTCAGGTGGATGTGCATGTCAGGAGCTGTGGGAGGAAGTTGTGCTGTTGGAGAGACTGAGTAGTACACACCATATCAGGCACAAGGAAGGAGGCCCTGAGGTAAGGGTGAAGTGGAGCTTGAGGAAGTGAGGGCTGCTGTGGGGGAAGTAGCCCAGGGAATTGTACATGTCATGTTTCTAAAAGGTCAGCTACCATAGCTGATACTATTATGGTCCCTGGGCTGGAGCCTGGAGTAGAGGGTGGGCCCGGGCTCCCCGCCCCAACCTTTGCCCCCTGATTAATCACTGAGACTGGGGGACAACAGAGACTGTGCAAGGAAGGATAACTTCTCCCCACCTCCCTCGCTGGCTTATGATGAAAATGGCTCAGCAGACTGTGACCCTTGTCTCTAGAGAGAGAAGGGTTACGTGGAGGGCCACAATGAGCCTCTGAGGCTAGCGAAATCCGCCAGGAAAAGCGGGACCTACGGAGGCAAGGACAGAGCTCTGTCACAGGACATAATTTGGTCTGCAGAGGTTTTATTACTCGTAATGATTCAGGAGAAGGAAAAAGAACAGCTTGACTGCCAGAGCCCAGAATGAAATTTCAGACCAGGCACTTAGGAAATTTTTTTTTTTTTTTTACTTCTACAATAACCAGACTAGATCTTGTCCATGGAGAAAGAGACATGGAACCTCTCGATGCTATTTGTACAGTCAATCACATTTTAGGGTAGAATCACACTTCAAGGGCACTGTGGACTTGACTATGAATTCCTTTGCGATTCAGCATGTATACTTCATCTGTATCATTACCACGATTTGATTTCCCCCCCTAATTTGTTCAAATAAAAGATACCATCAGCTTGACATGCAAATGTAAGAACAATGAATTTCACAATCTTGTTATTTTCTTAGATAAAGATACACGGCTGCATAGTCATCCCTAACAGGCTGCAAAAATAAGAAATTTTGGCAATGATGAGTCCACACTAGGATAGAAGGATTTGGGAGGATGGAGGAAGGGAAAGCATTTGTTTACATGTCTTAAGCAAGTCAAACTAGATATGAAAAAGTGTGTACCACATATTTATGTTTTGCGTTAAATGTAACAGGGTTAAAGCTAAAAGGAATTCTATAAAGAACGAGCTATCAGAAAAATGTCAGAGTATACAAAAAACAAAGAACCACATTTTCTTTTATATCATTAAAAAGAATCATTCCAACACTCAATGAAAGTGACATTATTTATTTGAGTTTAACTTCTTTGTGTGTTTAAGAAAAGATTGTGCTGCCAAAACTACAGGAAAAAAGTAACCTGCTATGTAACCCCCCGTTCCTCCAGGGATGGTTCTAGCAGTCTGCAGGGAACAGCCATACCTATTGAGGCCCTTATTTACTGCTTCACTCATTCCTCACACTCTTTTGCAGGAAACCGCAGGGCTTCAAGTGAGGTCTACCAGCAGGTGCACTGGGACTTGGGCAGGCTGCAAAGGAATACAAACACCAGCTAATTAAGTCTATTGTTAAAACAATGTGTTTCTTGCTGAGACTGAGTCATCTGAAAACGTTGCAAGATGACAGATTTCATTTGTGGGGGCAGAGTGCCATCTTCATTCTGGAGCTGTCCTTTCCCCTCCCCCACTCCATTGCTCTTTCATTGTAGAACTTACAGTTCCCAAAATGAGCGAGCAGAGCAGTGTTGGGTCTTTTTTAAACAAACATTTTCCATGGCCACATTTCTAAGCTCTTCCTTAGGTAAAGTCATTATTGATGGGAAATAGCCCGTCACTAATGTTGGGAATATTAGCTCCTAAAAGAAATAAAAGTAACAAACAAGATTTGTAGCATCCTTATCCAAAACTCTATTTGTAATGAACACCTGCCCCCAAGAGGCCAGAGGGGATATTTTTAACTTGTGGGTACCAACAATAGATAACCACAAACCATTTTTTCCATTCGGTATGCAGACCTGCCAGCAGAACCCCGCACCCTGGCATGAACAGCTTGAACAGTGACTGTTGATAAATCAAGCAGTATATTTACAACGAAGTTGACTTTTGGACCCTCCTGGGAAAACAGATGTGCTCCACAGCAATGAGAAAAGTCAGCTTATTTCAACATCTATATTCTCTATGAAGCAACATCACAGATACTAGTATAACCTTGATTAGCCAGTTAGGAAGGACACCCCAAACTTCAGATAATTGAGTGAGCTGAATCTGCATTCAGGATCTCCTGATCCAGTCTACTTCTCTCAGAAGTTTCTTTACAATAGTCTTTTATGAAAATGAGTAATGAACCTTCTTCCAGTTACATTATAACATGCATACATTTATAAATGAGAATTCTAGAACACAAAATTCTTTACTCAGCTTTTGAATTCAAATAAAATTTAACACACTATTAATATAATCCCATGGTGGCCTTTTTGCTCTCAAAGTTACACCCCTCTCTTTGTTTCTCAGAATTTTTTTTTTTTTTTAAATCTTCTCTGTATTAGCTCAGAATACCCTTTAGAAACAGGAATTGTCAATATGGTACCTGTAAGCACATCGAGTTCCCACCTTCCTCCAAACAGGATGCGCGCACACACACAGACACACAGCACATAGTCCAAAATTTCCCCCTTCCACGAGTTTGGCTTTATTGATCATCCAAACTAGCCTACACCTAAACCTTATCACCATTCTCGACAGATCCTAAGCTAGGCTTTCCATGTAGGACCTCCTCTGTCCCAGTCCATAGCTCTTTTTACCTCACTCTCTCTAAACCCTCTTCTATTTTGGTTGAGGCTAATTAAATCCACAGCTCAGCAAAGGAACCCAGTTACCTTCCACTGTTCCAAATCCCATTGTACCATTTTAAAACGTTTGAAACATCTGTTCTGGGAGTCCATGACAGTGCATCTTCCCATCAATTCTACAAATGCTGTGTACAACAGATTGCCATATCCTAGTTAGGGACCAAAATCTGAAAGCCTTTAATTGAGCAAAACTTCCATTACATTATTATAAAATGTGGCCAGTTATAATGTGGGAGACAACAAAATCTCCTTCATATCACACATACCACTCCATAAAAAATATATTTTGGTTTGGGATAATCAAGTAAGTAAGTAATATGCGGAAGAAATGTAAGTGGTATTCATTAGGGATGGTTAAAGCACAGCTCAAAACACTCACACATTTCTCTGAATCAACCCCACATTGATTTTACACCTCCTTTAACTATCATAATTTATTCTGTTAAGAACCGTTTACTTCCTGATTCTCCTCCTCCTGCTAACTCCTTCTGATAAAGCTCTTGCTCCATGTCTATTCCCATTCTACTTCCTGTACCTGTAAAGGTGCTTTCCCAGGTCCAGTTGTGTTGGGTCCTGGCTCTCCTTCAATTCTCATGTGCTCTGCAGTTTGATAAAACCCAAACTGCATTGTGTACTTTAGTATATTCACCAGATCTGTCTTTGCATGACTGTCTTCTGTCATGCATTATTTAGTTCTGCAAAACACTTTGAGACACACTACTTATGAAAAGTATTTCACAAAATATAGCTATATTCTAAGTATATCCAAAAAAACTATGTTTTGCCTCCGTAAACGAGTAAAACCAAGGAGGAGTACTTGTGGCACCTTACTAATTTCCCCATGCTAATTTGCCCCTACTGTTACTCACACCTTGTTAACTGTTTGAAATGAGCCGCCCTGATCACCACTACAAAAGTGATTTTTTATCCTGTTGATAATAGCCCACATTAATTGATTTGTCTCGACCCCCCGCAACAGGGTAAGGCAACTCCCATCTTTTCATGTACTGCTATATATATCTTCCTACTGTATTTTCCACTCCATGCATCTGATGAAGTGGGTTTTAGCCCACAAAAGCTTATGCCCAGATAAATTTGTTAGTCTCTAAGGTGCCACAAGTACGCCTCGTCATTTTTGCTGATACAGACTAACACAGCTACCACTCTGAAATCTGTCACCAGTAAATGAGTAGTTATTCAATATTTCTTTTTATCCTTCTCATTCAGTGTGGCCACAGGCCTCACTTACCATATACCATCTATATCCTGCTCTGAATACAAAATTATTTATTTCCTTCCGGGTGTTTCTGTGGCACTCATCACTATAGTATCTGAATGCCTCACATCAATACTCCCACGGTCTCCCACAGTATTCTTGTCAGCAAGTTAAGGAAGTATGGGCTGGATGAATGCACTATAAGGTGGGTAGAAAGCTGGCTAGGGGCATAGCGAGCAGATCGAGGGACGTGATCGTTCCCCTCTATTCGACATTGGTGAGGCCTCATCTGGAGTACTGTGTCCAGTTTTGGGCCCCACACTACAAGAAGGATGTGGATAAATTGGAGAGAGTCCAGCGAAGGGCAACAAAAATGAGTAGGGGTCTAGAACACATGACTTATGAGGAGAGGCTGAGGGAGCTGGGATTGTTTAGCCTGCAGAAGAGAAGAATGAGGGGGGATTTAATAGCTGCTTTCAACTACCTGAAAGGGGGTTCCAAAGAGGATGGCTCTAGACTGTTCTCAATGGTAGCAGATGACAGAACGAGGAGTAATGGTCTCAAGGTGCAGTGGGGGAGGTTTAGATTGGATATTAGGAAAAACTTTTTCACTAAGAGGGTGGTGAAACACTGGAATGCATTACCTAGGGAGGTGGTAGAATCTCCTTCCTTAGAGGTTTTTAAGGTCAGGCTTGACAAAGCCCTGGCTGGGATGATTTAACTGGGAATTGGTCCTGCTTCGAGCAAGGGGTTGGACTAGATGACCTTCAGGGGTCCCTTCCAACCCTGATATTCTATGATTCTATGATTCCTGTGAGATTAGGTGAGATTATCCCCATTTAACAAATGGGAAATGGAGGCACAGAGAGATTATGGTCAACATTGTCACATGTCCACTAATTTTAGGAGGTCAATTTGAGATACCTAGGGTGACCCAAGAACCTTTTGGTGACAACTAGCAAAGGTCCCAGGGGATACAAAGGGTCAGTGTGATGAGGTGTCCTCCACACACACCTGGAAAGGATTAAAAGAGGCCAGATGGACCAATTAACCTATTCGGCTGAAGGCTGAGGAGAAAGCCCGAATTAAGGGAAGCTCACGTGTACGAGAACAGACAGGTTTCTATAAAGCCAGGGAGCTGATAGCAGGAAGGAGGCTGCAGGGATCTAATCTGCGGTCACTCCCTGGGAGAAGGGGTGTGTGTTTGAGGGCTTTCGAGACAAGTAGCCTCAGTTGGAGGAGGGAGTAGAGAGGCTGGCAAACCCCAAAGAGAGGGGAGTGCTGAGGTAGGAAGCAGCCCAGGGAGTAAGCAGCAAGGTTGGGGACTGAGTTGACCTTGGCTGCGTGTTGTAGGGTCCCCGGGCTGGAACACGGAGTAGAGGGTGGGCCCAGGTTCCCCTACCTGCCACTGGGGAAATGGAACTGGCAGGGCAGTGAACTGGAAGATTGCCTGGATCACTGTGGGAGTGACAGAGACTTTGAAGGATTATACCCCAGAAGGGGGAAACACAGATAGCGACATGGCTGGAGGGTCAAATCATGATGATGATGCTGTGGTTCCTAGACTTAGAGATAGGCTGCAGACCAGAGAGAGAGATGGCGTGCAACTGTGGGATGGGACATTGACCTTATGAGCTAATCCCCAGAGTGACCAGGAGGAGGCACCACGTGCAGTGAGTAGAGTACCCTGTGACAGTCAGATATATGCATAATTGTTCACCTACAGGTGGCATGTACCAAGAACCAGTAGCCCAATGGTTGTCAGAATCACTGCAAAATGTTCATACAGATAATATTGAAGGAGTTAAGTGTCTATATTAAAATGCATGTTCTTAAGGTCTTGGAATTAAGGCAAGTCACCAGGAGGTGACATGTCTTGGATGTGTTCCTTTCAGACAGGAGGTAGCAGACGCTTATCTCCCTGTCTGGTCACATGTGTACTATATGCTTCACAATGTAGGTCTATCTGCATACTGAGCCACAGGCAAAAGAAGCAACTGTGAAATCTACAAGGGAGGGTTGCCTGTTTATGACAAAAGACAAAGGATTGTTGGGGTATATCTGGGGATACAAGGAAACACACAGGGTCCTTCACCTGGGAGAGGCAAGCTTGACAGCATACTTCCTTATGAAAGCAGGATCACCGCCAAGCCTGGCTGTAAAATGCTGCAAGGACTTTGGGTAAGTGTCACTCTACAAGTCAGGAAAGTATCTAGTTAATTAAGTCAAGGTTCCAGAATGCGTGTTATGATTTTATATGTAACCATTTGTTTCTAATACTTTCACTTGCTATTACTTGAATCTCTTGTGCTTTGTTAAATAAGCTTATACTTGATTTCCCTATAAACATATCTCAGAGCTGTGTGTTAAGTGGAGCAGTGACCCGAGGTGCAACTGCTAAGCTGGGGTGTACATTTTATTTGGAAGCAGTGAATCTGTTAATAATGTGAGTGTCCAGTGATCAGGGGATGAACACTCCAAAGAGATGCTCGGAGGGCTTGAGGGGTGGGGTTTGCCTAACGCTAATCTATAGAGAGAGATGGGGTCTGTGAGGCCTAGAGGAGAGCATCTTTTGTTTCCTGTGACCAGTGGAGCTGGGGAGCTGACCCCCCACAGGCATAACAAGGTTGCCTCATGCTAAGGGCAGATGGTCGTGCAGTACATCACAACCCTTGGTACCCCCAGGAGGCATCACACCTAGGGCCCAATTTTTCATCATACTTAGCATTTGTATAGCATTTTATATGTTCAAAACACAGCTCCCATTGATTTCAGTTGCACCCGTGAGTGCTCTGTATTTCTGAAAATCAAAATCGCCCCCCAGGTCTCAGGATGGACACCCAGAAACTGAGGAACACACAATGAGTGACTCCCTGTGAATAGTTTGGTTTAAGTGACTTTGCAGAGAAATTGTGTGGCAGAGGCAGGGATAGAATCCAGTTCTCCATCATTGAACTGCCTTAATCATTACACTGTCCTCTCTCTTCCTCTGTGCCTATCTACACCACAATACCCTGTTCCTGCCTTCTCCCCCACCCCCGACACACAGCTCCTACATGCCTCTCCTTCTGCTCCTATCCAACACCCCTTCCCACCTCCGCTCCTGGCCCCCTCCTCCTGAGCTTCTATTCAACCCCCTGCCCTGGCCCGCACTCCCTCCTCCTGAGCTTCTAACCAGTTCTGCCTCCCACATTTGCTCCTCTCCAATCCCCCACTCCATCTCCTGGCCCCTTCCCCTGTACTCCTCTCTCCTGCCCTGTCCACCCCCAGTAGGCTGGCTCCTGGTCCCACCACATCTGCTCCCCCCTCGCACTCCATTGACTTTTCCCTTCCCTCTGCTCCCCCACAATTTCTGGCTCTTGCAACCCCTCTCCTCCTATTCCCCCCATCCGAAAAAAAAATCATCACCACCCCTCAGAATTCAAGTCAGGGTGATTCCTCTTTCTCCTCCACACTGCCTGACCTCTAACAATAAGCAGTAACAACATAGGGGAGACTGTCTTCCTGTTCTTAGTTCTTGTGTCCGGCACCAGCCCAGGACACAGTAGCCAGAAGTAATAACTGAGGGAAAATTGCCTGCTGCCCTGGACTGGAGCACACTCAGTGCCAATTGAATCTTTGAAGAATTTAGATGCCAAACTCGAACAAGTCTCTACTGAGCATGTGCAATCTGAGATTTTGCAGAGGCTCATAAACTTGGTCAAATTAGGGCAAATTTTTACAGGGATGGCAAAAGGCTCATCCCTGACCCCCTGCTAAATTTCATGTCCCTGTTCTAAACCCAGAGGCACTAGAGCAGGGGTGGGCAAACTTTTTGGCCTGAGGGCTGCGTCGGGTTTCTGAAATTGTATGGAGGGCGGGTTAGGGGAGGCTGTGCCTCCCCAAACAGCCAGGCATGGCCTGGCCCCTGCCCCCATCTGACCCCCCTGCTTCTCGCCCCCTGATGGCTCCCCCAGGACTCCTGCCCCATCCAACCCCCCCGTTCCCTGACGGCCCCCCCCGGGGACCCCTGCCCCATCCAACCACCCCTTCTCCCTGACCGCCCCAGACCCCTCGCCCCCACCATCCCATCCAATCCCTCCTCTCCTTCCTGACTGCCCCCCCGGGACTCCTGCCCCCATTCAACCCCTGTTCCCTGCCCTCTGACCACCCCGACCCCTATCCATGCCCCTGACCACCCCCCAAACTCCCCTGCCTTCTATCCAACCCCCTGTTCCCGCCTGCTTACCATGCTGCCTGGAGCACTGGTGGCTGGCAGTGTGGCTGCACCAGGACAGGCAGCCGTGCCATGCAGCACAGAGCACTGGGTCAGGCAGGGCTCTGCAGCCCCGCCGCCCAGAGCATTGTGGGCCAGGAGCTCAGGGGCTGGACAGGACAGTCCCACGGGCTGGATGTGGCCCGCGGGCCCTAGTTTGCCCACCTCTGCACTAGATTTTCTTAATGAAACAGTGGTACGAATGTTTTTTAACATGGCAAAACAATATATGTTTCTTAATCTCATTCGGACAAACAGCTTGGCCATTTTAGCTGTAATTTCCCAGAACAAATCAGCCTGAGGTGGACACCTGCCATGAAAAATTTCAGCCTGAACAGTTAAAGTTTGGCAAAGTTATAAACAGCTGAAACAGGGCTTTACAGTGGGGACTGTCAGGCAAGCTTAACTATAGGCAGCAGGACCAACCCTGCCTCTAATAAATAATGAAACACCATCGGTTCCGTATGTGACAATTAAAAACAGGACTAACACGGGTAACCTACAACGCCTTATGGAGAGAGACATCTCATTGTAAAGCCTAATCCTTCATCACACAGTTGTGCTGTCAAGGTCTGAAGTGAGGAGAGGCTCTTGCTGGACCAGTGTCACAACCTTAACAAGTTTTGAATATGGACATCGATTCTGCAACACATACTCATGCGCTTAACTTTACTACTGAGAGTATTCTATTGAAATCAATGGAACTACTCATGGTAGTAACAGTAAGCACAGGCATAAGGGTTTGCAGGATTGGCACTGTGTTTTAGGTCCATTTTTCTACATTACGCTCCATGATAAACATTAAATAGTTTCCTGTTAATTACATGTTTTCAAAATCTAATCTATCATGTATTTACCAGAGACATGAACAGCCCAGGGAAAGGAGGTATTTGGCTTAATAAGATAGCAGTGAAATTTGCGATAAGAATCTGTATTACCCAATGTATTTCAGTACTAAAAATCAGTGAATGCTTAGTATCTGTTCACTGTATACAATACTATATTCTGCATCTTGTGAAAAGAACATTGTTTTTGCCATGTGGTATGTACTTTTCTTAAAAATACATTTCACCATCTAGGTCACTTTCTTAGTTAATGTATTTTATTAATTATGTGTCTCTCCTATGTATGACATCTCATAGGGTGAAATCCTGGCCTTATGGGAGTTTTGCCATGGACTTCAATGGGACCAGATTTTCACCCATAATGTGCCTCTTTAACTTATATGCAATGCAGACATTTGAACACCAGAGGACAGTGTTTGAATGAATTAAAAAATACAGAACAATTGAAATGCACTTCAAAAACATAATTTAAAATACCTACTACTTATTACCACACATATTACTGGAAGCAGAGTTTTGTAAGAGACTGACACAACAAATTAATCTGAAAGATAATGAAGACTAGAATGATTTAGGAATAATTAATAAGTGAGTTCATTCTGTATGAACTTATATTTGAGTATGTATTAAACCTTCTTACCATGATTCATTCTTTTACTGATGATTTTAAATATGCTGCTTTCTCTTTTAGCTGTGAAAACCCAATGATGACTATAGTTTTTTGACTCTTCTCATCATTTGAAATCATCTCTCTTTTCTTCTTCATGTTGATTCTTATGAAGATTCGATATCTCTTCCTAAACCCAAGAAACTTTGTACACATAATAGACAGTCACTGCAATAACATGAAAAAACAACAAAGTCAACAACTTGTGACTCTTATGACAGCAAAAGGCTGAGCTTACAAAAAGAGGAGGAAAGATATCAACTCTTCTTGCAGGTCACTGCAGAAGGGTCAAAGCTAAATGGATATGAGCTGTAGCTCACAAAAGCTTATGCTCAAATAAATTTGTTAGTCTCTAAGGTGCCACAAGTACTCCTTTTCTTTTTGTGGATATGAAAAGAAAATTACACTCATCTCTAGAAGCTGGTTCATCAGAATTAAAGCATACTGGTGGTATGGTGTGGGAGAACCCTTTGCCCATACTGTACCTGATCTGTGCCTAAAGAGATGCCCTTCAGTCTCCAGAGATATCCATCTACTGTATACACCAATTATAATGGGAAGTGTTAGGCATCTTTAATAACAAGCAGCACTATCAACCCCACCTATCATCCAAAGACTATAAAACGTCAAATTTTGCCCTCAGTTTTATCTATAGAACTGCACTTGAGTCAATATACTGAAGTGAGGCCAGCAGCTGAAGTCAATCTGCTGTTGAGTTACCAGAGTTAACTCTACCAGGCTCTAAATGGAAGTTAGTGGGGTGTACACATGTAAGCTTGCCCCAGAAGATTTTTGAAAACAGACAAATTGAGTTTAACCCTTCAGTCTGTAAGAACCTTTTAAGCCTTGATCCACAATTCACTGGGATGGGTCTGTCATACTAACATCAGCTGCAGTCACTCAATGGATCGTAACAGGCACTTCAGAGATATTTCAGTCAAAGCAGTCAGTAATGTTGTGCAAAGCAGTCAGTAATGGCTCAACTGGGTAAATCCATAATTGCATGTAAAATGTTTCTAATTTCACGCTAGCCCATTCCAGCTCCATAGGAAATACTCCTTTTAAGTTAACAGGACACACTTCATGAATATTACAGTGAGCACATATTAAGGATTAGACCCATAATGGACTAACAGCTAAGGAGTCATGTCCCAATCAGCTGGATCAACATTTCTCTTTCATGCTTTTTTCATTTTTTCCTTTGATTACAGCTGTAAAAGAGAGTCAGAACAAACGAACCTATCACAAGCTTATTCAAATGACACAAAGAATCTACATTAATGTCAGAAAATCAATAATGAAGCTTAAAATCCAGGCTCTTGCTCTGGCATGAATTCCCACCATATTATACCTTTTTAGTAGGCACAAGATAGCAGTGAAAAGCTCAGATTTTCAGCCTTCTCCCTATATTTTCTGCATTTTATGAGAAGTAACATTACCTAAATATTCCAGGAAACAGAACAACATGTTAAAGACATCCCCACACTACCTGTAAGCATTATATGGGAGAAGCAGCATTCTCCCATGGCTAGAGCACTGGACTGGAAGTCAGGAGACATGGGTTCTAGCTCCAGCTTTGCTGATGACCTTGGGCAGGTGACTTTTTCTTTTATTCTCTTCCCACCACTGTGTTTGTCATGTCTATTTTGACTGTGATCTCTTCAAGGCAGAGACTGTCTCTTGCTATGTGTTTGAATAGTACCTAAGACAATGGGGCCGTGATCTTGATTGGGGCCTCTAGGTGCTACTGACATCCAAATAAATAACAAATAACTTTTTCCTCAGTCTTCTCCCCTGCACCACCTACCCCCAAATCATGTGCCACATGACAACAGCCTTTGTTGCCCCTCCCAGATAATATTTTCCCAATATTTCCACTCCAGGAGTGGAAATTCTATACCTAATTCTTGCAGCTAAATCTGGATTCCCCAAAACAAATTTCTAAATGCCTCAATTCATTTTTGCTGCCTACCTTTTGAATTTTTCTGCATGGGTTTTTGCAACAAGATGACCAAAACTAATGCAAGGAGAAAGTGCACTGGCTTTTATATAATGCTACTAAAATCCCTTGCATCTTGTTTAAGATAGCTGAATTTTCTTTTTTGGCTTCCCACTCAAACTACTCACATTGTTGTTTAGATATTTTTCCTGAGAAGTTTTGACTAATTTGTAATCCAGGATTATGTACAGTGTTTTAAATTATTGCTCCTGATGTGCATAACTTTGCCCTTGACTAGATTTCATTTCGGTCAGTCTGCTGCCATGATGTCCAGTTGCCTAATTTTATTAAGTCTTTCTGGAATTATTCACAATCGTCCATAGTACCGGCTGCAATAGCTAACCTAAATAATCGTGCACTGTCAGGAAATGTCACCACTTCATTATTTAACCCCACTTGCTAGAGAATTATTGAACACCAGAGGTCTTAGTAATGATCCCTGAGGCACCACATTGTTAACTAAGGTTAAGTGTGGTTTTGTGGGAACCACAAAGAAACTGATCCAAATCCTACAAACCCCAGTAATGCCCTAGAAATAGATTCAACTCACTTGGATGCTTCACTCCGTATGTCCGCTTCACTCAGGAGGCCCCAGCACCTTTTCGCTTACCTTTTGTACTCACCAGTGGTGCAGAGGAGAGGCTGGTGGTCTTTATATAACCACCTCTTGAAGCATTTCAGGTTAGCCAGCTAGCCCACCTCACTAGACATATTTTGCAGGATGGTATAGTCACCTACGCCTACTACTTTCCCAATCTACAGGAAGCATTTCTGGAAGAATGGCCTTGAGCTCACCCTGCCATTCTCCACTTGCAAGACCAGAAAATGCTGCTCCAGTCCTGAAGCTGGCTCTACTAGTTACTCCTGAGGGAATTCTGTGCCCCAAAATTAGAAATTCTGCACACAAGATTTTAAAATGCTGCAAATTTTATTTGTCAGAATAGCACTATATAATCATGCCAGTTTCAATTATTTTGGTAATTGATTCCAAAATACAGGTCAGCAAGTCTGTCTGTAGCAATACAGACACAAAAAAATTCCACTAGGAGTAGAGCGGTAAAGAAACCCCAACGACAACCCAGTTCCTGTTTCTCTGCCCCCACCTCCCCAGAGCCCAGCCAGGGGGCCTGACACTCACACTCCCTCCTCCCCAGAACCTAGTCACAGCCCCCGTCCCCAGCCCAGACAGTCACACCCCTAGTCCCCAGAGGCCAGCTGTAGCCCCCACCCCGCCCAGACATTCACACGCTCTACCTCCCATAGCTCAAGGATCCAGAGGGAGAAATAACCTGATTATGGGTCCTGGGGTTGCATGCAGTTTCCTGCATGCTGCCGCCTCCTTCCTTCAGGGTGTGCTGGGAACGGCAGCTGCTGGGAACCCTCCAATTCCCTCCCCCTTCCTTGTCTTCTGTTTGTGAGCTGGGCTCTGCTGGGTCCAGCAGCCCCTACTGATGGCCAACGTCTCTGCAGCCCTTTTCTGTGGGGGAAAAAAGGAAATTCTGTGCATACGTTAATTTCTGAAAAATTCTGCATTGCGCAGTGGTGCAGAATTCCCCTGAAGTATCTAGTAGCCCTTATTTTACTCTGGGGTGGAGATCCCCAGACTGAGATAAGAGCTGTTGCAGAAAGAGCACAGGAGCAATTATTGATCTTGCTGCTATAAATGGGGGATGGGTGGACACTTCTGAAAGAGTTCAGGAGGTGGGTTGGTAAAAGCCATTGCCTCTCCACCTCAGAAGACCACTAAGAGGTATGTGAGTTGGTGGAGAGGGGTAGAACCTAGGACTAAAATTCTCAGCCTTAGAGTCGAAGGTTCATGTGAATAGGGCATGGGTCTGGAAATCAGGATTCCTGGGTTCTTGTCTCCTCCTTAGCCATTGACCTACAGCAACTCCCTTAATGAAAAAAATTCAAGTCTTCACTAATTTTAGGTACCCCCAATTGGAGTGCTCAACCGGAGACACTTACCGCCTGATTTCCAGAGTTGCTGAGTGCTCACTGCTGCCACTGAGCTTTGGGTGCTGTTGCTGTTGGGGACTAAAGCTGTGCAAATAATTGATATTTCAGTTTAGTGGCTGGAGTGAAAAAAAATAGGATCAGGTCTACCAAAAATAATCTTATTTTTCAGGTGAAATGAAAAAGTTTAAAAAAAATGGTTTCAGGTCAAACATTTTGTTGTTCAACCCAAAATGAAACATTTAATGGCCATTTTAATCTTTTTTTAAAAAAACTTTTTAAATAAAATTGAGTGAAATTCCAAAACAAAATAGGTTTCTGAAACAAAGAGTCAAAACATTTCATTTGGGGAAAAATATTTGGTTCAATTGAAAAAATTCACCAAAATCAACCCAAATTTGTGAATTGTCTTCGCATTTGTCAGCAAATTAATGATTTGCACAAAAAAATGTTGCCTCGCTCTGGTTGGGACTGTTTTTCTACCAGCCACTTTTAGATCTCCATTCTGTTGACACTGGGCAACTCTTCCCCTTCGCCCTTGGGGAAGTTTGGTAAAAAATCCCACTCCAAGTACCATGTATGCAGGAGTCACTTCAGGGAAAAGCCAAACAGCACAGCAATAGCTAGAAAGAAAACCCATCTCAGCATAAGCTAAGGGGGAAACCCCTCTTTAAATGAAATAAAAATCAAAAGGTCAATACCTGAAGTCTGGAAAGGACAGGGGTCAGCTCCTGAGAGGCAAACAAAACCTCTCTTCCCTTTCCCTCAGCGAGGCCTGAAGAATCTCTTCAATTCAATAGACCTTCAAACATTCAACTCAAAAGGGAAAAAAAACATTTACAGCTGGTCTCCCTTAGCTCATAGGAATCTGGCCTGACTTCCCACTCACCACAGGGGTGAACAGCTTGTAGCTTCTCTTTCCCAAGAACCCTGTAGCTCTTGGGCCTCAGGGCCCCTGATCCCTTTCAGAACCACAAAAGAAATCCTCCCCCTTCCAAGGCAGCCAGCCTGCTGAAGCCTGCATCCTCCCTTTTGTCTTCTGTTCCTCTCTTGATTATTTCCCCAAGTCTGGGCATTTCTGGCAGGTGTTGTGGGGTGAAGCCATCATTTGCCTGCAGGTCAAATCATTAACCCCTTACTGCCCTGGCCCAGTGTAAGATTTGTACATGCCATCACAGGCAAACCAGAGCACTGGCTGTGTGGCATAG